ATAGTCTGAGATTATCTTTAATCGCCATAGATTTTAGATTACAAGAATTAGATCCACCTGACTGCTTCTTGAGTAATTAATTTATAATTATTGTTATTTATTATCCAGTTAATGCACGATGATTTTAATTTAAGATATCCATATACAGGTGTTAACTACCGTATTACGCCCACAGGATTTTAAAAAATAAAACCCTGTATAATTGTGTGAAAGAAAACTTTTTTCTTAGATTTTCTTCATAGTTAGAGAAGCATGTTGTGATTCATACAACAATTTAATAATTATCATAAATTTCATTTTCGATAATTTGATTTATGTTTGAATGCGATACAGCTTTTTTCTTAAAATTTCAGATGATTATTGATAATTATAAACTGGCGCCATCTAGTGACGAGTAGATGCACAATTCCCTTATAAAGAGGGTTTTATTTTAGAGATATAGAATCTTATAATGCTCAAATTAAGCATAATCTTGAAAACCAATTTTCAACTAATTTCTTGAACTACTGTGCAAAAGTCTTTAATGTATTTAAAATTGTTGTTTCAGCACGGACTACTTACTGATTTTGTATCTACTCGCAGAAATTAATAGGTCGCGAAATTATGTGCTGTGTTATTACCACAATAATTTGACAAGGATTACAGAAAAACCAAAGCATATAAGATACTAGAAGTGCACATGATATATATATATAGGTATGTACAGATTAATGTTGTCTTTAAAATGGTTTTTTTGAGCACGGATTACTGATTTTGTATCTACTCGCAGAAAATAATAGGTCGCGAAATTATGTGCTGTGTTATTACCACAATAATTTGACAAGGATTACAGAAAAACCAAAGTATAGAAGATATTAGAAGTGCACATATATAGATATGTACAGATTACTAGAGTAAACATTTCTGCTGGTTTTTACTTAGAGTAATATTTGTATTCCTACTGATGCAATTATCAAACATAAGATACCAAGATGAACAATTTACTAATTTTGTGAGCACTACATTACACCTTTCTAATCTTATTTGCCCACATTCTGGAAGAATATGTGTTTTATTTTAGTATCCTAACTATTCACTTTAGCTAATAACTATGATGAAAACCAATTGTACTAGAAAATGTTCATGTTCATCCCGTACAGACACTTAGCAAGATGTAGCATAGTTTATATATATCAGGGCTTTTTCCATAACAAACATAGGTACTATATGTATGTATGTACGTATGGTCTGCAATATCTTTGATTTTTTGCCAAATTTGGCACATTTGTTTAGCATGTAAATACGGACACCCTACTTCTAAAAGGCACTAGAACCTCATCAATTGTTTTGGCAAATACTTTGACAGTTTGATATGTTAGACATATCAGAAAAAGAAAAGGAAACAAATCCCGAATAAAAAAGTCATTGAGTCTGATGATTGAATATGGACCATAAAATAATCCTTCTGCTGCCGCCTTTATTTCAATGGAGTCAATATCTTTCCATGAAATATTGTTTGGATTCTCAATTGCAGAATGCAATTTAGTAACGTGCATAAGAAACTTAACTCTCATTATTTTGACTGTAAATATTTGTGCTGCTGTATGAATAAGAACGGAAGACCAAACAACACAATTTTTTTTTTCTGTAAAAATGAGAGATGGTCACAAACTGTCACAAACTGGTCAGATTACTAAGAAATATCTAAAACATATCCGTTAATTAATTTATTGTATATTTTATGCAATTTTAATTAAATTTGATTATTATGTCTGGTCATAACACATCAAAAATTTGAATGAGGTTCGACACAAATCGATATCGAATAACTAAAGACACGTATTTCAGAAGAAAATTCAGAAGGTAGCAATGAAATTGTTGGTGTATAATTTCAATGCTTGACAATCAAGGAATAAAGTTGTGTGAGTTTGTTTATGTTTTAAGGAATCCCCAATCACCACTTTGAAACGCTTTAATTGATCTCGGGTTACTACTCTTGGTACACTTACAATGTCTACCACGTTTGGTCATTTCGAGATGCTTCAGCTTCTAAGTCAGCATTAAAACTTCTTCGTTATGCCCGTGAAACATGAAGTTAGTTAATTAAATTTTTATTTAACACATTTTGATTGAAGTCCAAAATTACCGATATTTGTATTAATCAAAATGTTATAAATTTCGTTACTAGTTCTTTTTTTGTAACAAGTCAGTTATAGTTATAGTAGTTATGTGCATAAATTTGATTAAATATTTTATATTTTTAAAGAGTGCTAAAAAAATTTGCTATATATGATTGAAGTGGTGTTATCAATTTTTTGTTTGATGATCCATGTTTTGCGATGAGCGCTTTTACGTGGTTCTATTTCCAAATTTTTTTCTCATCCCACCAGATTCCAAACCTAATGTTTATTATCATGTTATTTCTAGCATATTTTAGGAAAAATAGCTGGTAATAAACTGAAATTATTTCCTAACCATTGTAAAAATACCATATAAAAACAACCCAACCCAACCCAACCTCGAAGTCATTTACTTGTATTGTCCCTATTACTTTTTATTGATGTGATAACTTGGAACTAATTAACTAATATAAGTCTAGAACAAACTATATCATTTAGAAAAGAATTCTAACCCTGCTAAATTAGCCGATTTAGGGAATGTGTTGGAGAAGGTAATGGAAGATCGGTGAAATGAGTACAACAGTTCTGAATGTTTCGTAACAAAAAAGAAGAGAAAGCAATTATGGAAGAAATGGCTACAAAAAATACTTTACAATTGGAAAGATATATTTTGCAGCACCTTTATTCATCCTCATGTAAAGTGCACAAATGACTCCATAGTTTGCTCCGGTAAGATTTCAGACAATACTTTGGCTATAGTTGCAATTCTTATCCTCAGAGCACGAGTTACTCCAGCAGTAATCAACCTTTTTCCACGTTTCATGAAATACAAAGTCAGAAAAAAATAGAAAATACTCACAATTTTAGTGAATTTATCGCAAATGAAAAAGACGATTAGTTTTCAGAGAAAGAATCATGAAGTACAATAAGTGATGTGGAACCAGAAATTAAGAATAGTGAAGCGAGTATATTTTCTGTTTTAGAATCAAATAAAGAAAGTGATGATCTAAATGAAATGGTCTGTAACCATCGAGATACACTGTGCTAATACCTACTAAACTCCTACAGTTTGTTAGTCAAAAAAAAATTTTACACACTCCAATCGAAAAACTAATGCACATTATGCTACTGATTCTAACTTATGAAAAAAAGTAGATTCCATTGAAATATATGTATTGATAGGAATTTTATTACATATTATGTGATTTAGATAAACTCGTGAAAGTGACTTGTGAAGAAAAGGCAACATATTATCAAGAGAGGTTCAAAGATTCGATGATATGGATACTCAAGAAGAAAGAAAAAATAAATTAGATATTCGATTACGAGGTATCTGTTACTGGTAGTGTGGATGAATAACTAGTGATATATGGAGTGACCCTTCAAAGATTATATGCCGTAAAAAGAATAAAAATATAATCACTTTGCGATGCCAAAACCTGCTACTGTTGTAATTTCGAACTTTATCTTGGAAAAATCGGACAAATTTCTGAAAAAGATCAAGGCCAAAGGGCCAAAGGGTTGTAAAACAAATAACTGATTTATCAATAAGTTAACTTTAATTTAATATATGCCTAAAAAACTAAAATGTGTTGTTCTACTTTCTAGTATGCATTATAAATTCAGTTTATTAAGTTCTCAAAATATTTTCAACCCGAAATTCTAAACTATTATAATTCGACTAAAGTTAAGAGTACATATTCTTGATAAATTACTAAGAGCTCAGAATCCTAGAAAATTTATAGATATTGAAGCTTATAATCCACTTGTAATTTTTTGAATGATCAAAAATCCTGAATGGAAATCCAACAGGATTATGAAAAATAATTTTGGCAAAAAAGTTCGAACCCTGTAGCACAAACATACAAACATTGAAGCTTACAATAGTCCAATAAAAAGAAAGAAGCAGACTCCACCAGCAATTTCTAAATGATTTCGTTATTATATTTGTTTTGGAAACGACAATAAATATAGTAAAAAATGGGCACAATGTTATAATAAGACAATTTTCACTACCCTTCTCTTGAAACAAATTATTTGATGTGGGTCAAATCGACTTTGCATTCAGTTACATTCAACGTCGCTATACAGACAGTCTAGGGTTAAGTAAAGAATGGGCTACAAATATTAGTTACCAAGCTAAGAATGGGAAGTTATTTAATAATCGGGGCTGCTAAGTGAAAACGGCATAAATGCCAAAATAGTCACTTTTTAGCTACTAGTACTATAAAGTATTGGTTTAAAGTTTGCGCAAATGCCTATTTCAATACGACGACGTGATACAAGTTTTTTGTGTTTCCTGAAAAATCAAGGAAATGTCGTTTATGCCATTTTGGCTTGGTATCGTCGATATAAAAGACGAAATATAGTTTCCCGAATACGTTCATAAAATCAATAGATCGATTTTCTACATCGATTCTCTCAGAAAATAATTCATGAAGAAAAAAGCACCAAGAAAAAACTAATTGAATTAATTCCAGAAGATGTGGTGAAGGGCATAAAAAATATCCGACAAGGACACTTGAATAATTTGTGTTTGTAAAAGAACAATAATAATTCTTATATTAATAAATCATAATGCAAGCTTTTTTGGAGCTTATAACTACGTAATAAGATTAAATGTGCATTTCCAAAGAGTTTTCATATTTAGATACTCTTTCAGGTTTGATTGTGAATCGGTTAAAAATGAAACTAACAATGTTAAGCGTTTTTGCCAAACTAATTTGAATTATTTATTTGGTAATATAAGTTTTGGTGCTAAAACATTTTTTTTGCCATGTCACAAACATTAAATCAAAACTTGAATAAAACAACAAACGAAACGATCAACTAGCCACCTCAAATTGGAGGCAATTTACATAATACCCGGCTTTTAAAATGAACCAAAAATTTTGAACCTACCTGAGCTCGGTCGGTCACTGTATCTCGTACAATAAACCCACGCTGGCCACAACATCGGCTGATTCGATGACTCTGAAGATTTTTCTGATTTCTCCTCCGATTTACTCAAATCAACCGGAACCGCTGTTGTTGTCGTTGTCGTCGCCGTTGTTGTTGCCGCCGTCGCTGCCGGTTTACCACCTTCCTCAAATTTTTCTTCACCTCCAGCAATAACAATCACTTTTTTTGTCGGTTTACTTTTCCGGATATTTATCGGATCAGTTATCCGTCGACCAAAATCAGCTTTCAAAATATTATCGATTGAAAACTTTAAATTTGGATTATTCGCATCGTTATTGTTCACGTTCGATTTTGAAATTTGGTGATGATGATGATGTCTTAAATAAAAATTTTGAAATTCATTTTTACCACTTTCAGGACTAGTTGGGGAACACAAACCCGGTCGAAATAATGTGTTAATGTACTCAACCGGTGAATGCGACTTATCATAATCGCTCGATCTATACAAAAAATTCGGAGAATTTGATTTTACACTATTTGGACTTAAACGATTATTGGTACAAATACTCGATGGACTCGCCGGATTACTTCTTAAACTACCTCCGCCGTCCGGGTCCAAAGTTGTATTGGTTATCTTTGAAATTGCGTTTAAATGATTTTCAATGTTTTTAAATGATAAAGTTGTCGTTTCATTTTGCACTTCTTGATGATGATGTTCATTTTCATTGCCAACTGATAAAACTGTGTCCTCACTGTCACAACTGACATCGTTTTCAGTGTTAACCGGGGATTCACGACCGAAATTTGAATCCATCGAAGCTTCCGTTGTCTCCGTAACCGCGCCACCGTTCCGAAATTGATGATGATGATGTTGATGAAGAAGATTTGATGTAGTCAACGTTGCCATCTTTTTTTATTAGAATTTTTTTTTTAATAACCAAATTCACTGATTTCACCTCATTCTTATTTATTTATTAATTAAAAATTTTTGTTAGAATGAGATAGAAATATTTTTTTTTGTTTTTTTAAGCGCGCGTTTAAAAAACACTAACAGAAGAAACCCGACGGTTTTCTTCGATCTACACTCCGCGGCCTGCTGCGATATTCTGTCCCCTTTGAAAAGCGTCATTAAGGCGGAGCTTTTATAATCGTGGGCGTGACCACGGTGGTAGGTCTAAAAGCTTTCACCAATACCGAAACGTTATTGTTGACGTTCCCGTACGTTCTGACAAGAAGAACGAACGTTCTGTTTACGTTTTTCAAAGAAGTGGGGATGAGATGTGATGAGTGGAAGGGGAAATATATCAAGAAGATATTATAATGTATTCTCCAAAGATATCTTTGATATATGAAATATTGTTTCAAAGTTTTCTCATCAAAATCAAACCATTAAAATCTAATTAGCGATTTAAATTTATTTCTTCATTATAACGATTTTTTAATGGGTCTTAATAATTAATTAATTCCTGCTGTCGCATTATTTAACATTTTATGTTAATAAAATTTAACATCTTAATCTGCATGAAACAATATTTATAAAAAAAAAATAACTTAATAAACTTAACAAGTTAAAAAAAAAACAAAGTTTCACTTTCTATTAGTTCTGTGATTAGCTTTTTATTACAACTTAAAAGGTGTTAACGAACCGTCGATAAGACATGCTTGATTTTTTTGATTCCTTTTTATCTTCGATTTAGTTTCCTTTCACCTTCTCCGGCAAGGATAACACCTATTTAATTTTTTTTATTTGGCCGTACGTTGGGCAAATCGATTACGCGTCAATTGATCGATTTTAATTAAATTTTATACCTAATTTGATAATAATTTTATCAAGGAAGTAACAGGTTTATGCATCGAATCAGTTTTTTTTTGTTGTTTTGTATCTTAGGAAATAATAGGCCAAATATAGATTTAATCCGACGGAAAGTAACGTAGTTTGACTACCATATACATAAAGACTTATAAAGAGGTGTTTTGAAACAAGATCACCTAACTTTAGGAGGCGAATTTTAAAGATAGTTTTCTAAATAAAGTATGGACCAATTCCTTGGGAGGCTACATCCTTTCAGAATTGGGGAAAAATTAATAATAAACACATTTATTCGGACACACTTCGATCACTTCATATAGAAAATTTTTGTTTAAGTAATTGTGTGTAACACATCCATGTCAAAATGCTTGATTTTCAGTATATTTCTGCAAAGTTCAATGAGGAAAGGCAATTTGTGGAATGTCACGCAGCAGCATACTTCCAACGTTTCAAAACCATTCAGAATGCATCTTATTATTTGAAAATGATCCTTTTTACATAATCCTTAGTAAAACCCACAGAAGACAATTAGGGCAACAGGAAATATCAACGCTAAACATACTAACTGGAACTATACATTCAATAACACCACCTGGATTAAGCTTAATAATTGAGCAATGGAACTAAATTTCCATATACAGAAGTATGTGTTGTTGTGGTCGATCCGAGATTTCATCCGTTCTTCCTGTTGATTCCTTTGGAAAGGGGCAGATGTTCTCACCTGGCATCTTCAGTGCGTTGTCAATACTTCCGAAGATATTGACAAAGCAGTTGAAATATCCAACATTAAGCTAAGCGCAATACTGGTAATCACAAACAAAGAGATTACAAGATATAAGCCTAATATTACGCCTCAATATATTCAAAACTGAATAAAAGAAAAGAACAGAAAAAGACGTGAATGGCAAAAACCGAAATACAGCATTAAAACCAGAAATCAACAGGATTACATATAAAATCAATGTGAGCTCGACAGCTGTGGTATGGATCAACGGATCAACTTGTGGCAAGCATGTACTGAATAAAGAAAAAATCCAAGAAAATTTTAAGATAACCTGTAATTATTCCTATTACCTTATTCTTACCGATCTGATGCCGATACAAAATTTCAGATAGCTGTCACCCAAAATGCTGCAAAAATCAAAAACGTGAAAAATGGAAATATAATGGCTAAATCTCCAAAGGAAATTAAACAATTCATGAAGTTACTTCATACTAAGAAATCGCTAGTTATGCTCACAACGATATTTAATGCTTCTCTTAGATTGAGTCAACTTTCCAATTCCTGGAAGCATGCTCATATTCTTATGTTTAGTAAACCCAAAAAACATATAGAGTTTCAGCATGCTTCCGCAATGTCCAAATTATTTAAAAATTGATGATTTGTAAAGATTTGTAAAAAATCATTCAACCTCGCAGCATCTTTGTAGAATCGAATATCTAGATAATCGAATATATAGAGAGTGGGTGCGATTCGAATGAAGCACAAGTTTTCGATAAGCTTTCGGTTTGGCTCCCTGGGTTTCTGCTAAAGTTAAAAAACTATAAATCTACAAGAGTGAAAATAAATTCCCGTCTGCCCTAAATAAAAATGGTCAAGGTTGAAGTACCGCAGGGCAGTATCCCAGGGCTGCTTCTATTTAATATACAGCGTGTTCTAAATTAAGTCCGCACTGGTGGTAACTTAATTTGTTAATAGTGGTGGTATAAAGTTGGTTAAATAAGTAAACTAGTAGCATATTTTCTGCCGATTACAATGGTGAAAATTGAATGTGTCGTTTAAAAAAAATTAGGAAAATGTAATTTTTTAAATGAAACACCTTGTGTATTTTTTGCATAATCAAATGTACAACATTTTTAAAACAAATATAACAAAATAACCAAATTATAAGCTTATTTTCATTTTAGACTAGTTGATAAATAGCTGTGAAATAAGATTCGAGCTTACTGTTATCATTTAATTTAAACAGAAGTAATTCATATCAGATGTGCAAACACATCACTGTTTTGTTGAATACAATTTCGGGTTTTCTTTATTACACGTTTTGTAGCTTTTAGAATTCTTCTTCTATCAATGTATCTTATAACGTTTGCAATACTGTTCTGAAATTCGATCAAGTTTGCGTATCTCCTTTTATAAACTTCATCCATGACATAACCCCAAAAGTAAAAATCCAATAGAGTTATGCCAGGTGATCTTGGAGATCAACTATTTTGAAAAAGCCTTTCTAGTAACACTCTCACTTCGCAAAACTGATGGATCTATCTTGTTGGAAATACATTCTCTTTTTAATGCAAAAAATCGTTTTGAAAAATCGAAAATTTTTTCGAATTTTGCAATTTTCGTCGATTAAGTTTTAAAAATTCATATAAAATCCATTTCTTGGAATATGAGTTTGAAAATTTCCCAAAGTGTTAATAAGAGTGTCCTGTTTCCAATGAACCAACACGTTTTGAAAAATAACCTTTAGTTTTTGAAAAAACAATATTTGAAGTTTTGATAAAATTTTCGATATTGCAATTTTCATCGATAATTTTCAAAATTCGCTATAAAATTAATTTCTTGCAGGATCCTTGTGGAAATATCACCAATTATTAATTAAAGTATCCTCTTTTTAATGCAACAAGCCGTTTTGACAAATCACTTTTAATTCTTGAAAAATAAATTTTTGTAATGATCGAAAATTTTTTAGAATTTTACAATTTTCGCCGATTAAGTTTTAAAAATTCGTACAAAATCTATTTCTTGGAATATGTGTATGAAAATTTCCCAACGTGTTAATAAGAGTGTCCTCTTTCCAATGAACCAACACGTTTTGAAAAATAACTTTTAGTTTTTGAGAAAACAATATTTGAAGTTTTGATAAAATTTTCGATGTTGCAATTTTCATCGATAATTTTCAAAATTCGCTATAAAATTAATTTCTTGAAGGATCCTTGTGGAAATATCACCAATTATTAATTAAAGTATCCTCTTTTTAATGCAAAAAGCCGTTTTGAAGAATCACTTTTAGTTCTTGAGGAATAAATGTTTGAAATAATCGAGAATTTTTTCGAATTTTATAATTTCCGCCGATTAAGTTTTAAAAATTCGTATAAAATCCGTTTCTTGGAATATGAGTATAAAAATTTCGCAAAGTGTTAATAAGAGTGTCCTCTTTCCAATGAACCAACACGTTTTGAAAAATAACTATCAGTTTTTGAGAAAATAATATTTAAAGTTTTGATAAAATTGTCGATGTTGCATTTTTTAGCGATAATTTTCAAAATTCACTATAAAATTAATTTCTTGAAGGATAATTGTGAAAGTATCACCAATTATTAATTAAAGTATCTTCTTTTTTATGCAACAAGCCGTTTTGAAGAATCACTTTTAGTTCTTGAGAAATACATTTTTGAAATAAACGACAATTTATTCGAATTTTGCAATTTCCGCCGATTAAGTTTTAAAAATTCGTATAAAATCCATTTCTTGGAATATGAGTATAAAAATTTCGCAGTGTTAATAAAAGTGTCCTGTTTCTAATGAACCAACACGTTTTGAAAAATAACTTTTAGTTTTTGAAAAAACAATATTTGAAGTTTTGATAAAATTTTCGATGCTGCAATTTTCATCGAAAACTTTCAAAATTCATTTCTTGAAGGATCCTTGTGGAAATATCGCCAATTATTAATTAAAGTATCCTTTTTTTAGAGTTGCTTCGTGAGTTAAATCAGCATCAAAAAAGTTCATTTTGTATCTTGAATCCAAATAAATTGACATATCTTATCAGTTTTCTTATTAATTTCATTTTTATTCAAATATGGTAATAATGTGGCAATGTAAGGTCAGAAATGCACCAGAGGTTATAACAGGTATCTGGCTTTTCGCAAAATCAGTATCCGTTCCATCACTAGTCTAAACCAATTTAATAGCATTATGTTGATAGTGTTAATTGGTATGTCATAATACTTCAATATTAAGTAAATTTTAATCAAAATTGTACCAGTGAAATTCGAAATAAAAATACTTTAAAGACTTTTTTGTATATAAACTGGTCTTTATTTAAAATTTGTGTCTGATTAGTTTCAGCCAGAGGTTATCTTCAGAGACATAGGTCATATTCTGCAGAATTTTGACATTAAATAAGCTTTATAAGACATATTCAAAAATCCTAGAATTTTCTTTAAAACATCCTGTTTAGCATTATTAACTTTATTTTGACTTTATCAAAAAACCTCAAGGTGTTGATCCAATTTTTCTATTTTCTGCTATCTTCGAAACACTTTTTCATTTTCGTTAATTATTTTAGGGATATTTTTGGTAGATTAGAACTATTTCGACTCCCACCAATCAGTTTTTCCCGCATTCCACAGCCTTTAACATCC